AGCCCCATGGAAAAATTGTCTTCCACAAAACTGGTCCCTGGTCTAGTCTGATGCCAAAAGGTTGAGGAATGCTGACATAATCTACTTTTAAGGAATGTGTGGTTACCAAAAAACTAATGAATTGTTAAAGTATTTTAAATTCTGTAAGATGATAATGATTGTCATTGTGGGCAGGGTGGCAAAGGAAGTATATGTATGATTTTTAAAGTTCTTATTAAAGTATGTGGTATAATTAGTAGCCTCTAATATTGCACCTAATGATTCCTGCCTCCTGGTATCCGCTCTTCTTGAGTGTGGTCTGCAAAGATTGCATTGCTTATGACAAGCAGAATGTGGCAGTGGTGACGAGATTTCTCTCCTGAGTTCCCATCTTGGGTACTTTCTTGTATTATTTTTTATATCACTCCCTGTGGGGAAGCCAGCGGCCATGCGGTGAGGCAGCACTGGGGAGAGGTCCATGTGGTGAGGGACTGAGACCTTCCAGCAACCTCATGAGTGAGCTTAGAGGGTCTCTCCTCTGAGACCACAACCCCAGGCAACAGTTTAGACCTCATGAGAGACCCTGAGTCAGAGCTACCCAGCTAACTCATGCCCAGATTCCTGACCTACAGAAACTATGAGTTAACATGTTTGTTGTTTTGAGTTGCTAAGTTTTGGGACAATTTGTTATGAGCAATAGACAATACAAAGTATAATATACATATAGAAAAATGCACAATCCTAACTGTATAGCTTAATGCATTCCACAAAATGAACACACCCAAGTAACAAGTAACACCCTCCTCTAAGACTAACCACCACACTGCCAGCCACACAGTTTTTTCTGTGTCTGTACCTTATATAATCAGAATCATATAGAATGTGCTCTTTTGCGTCTACCTTCTTTTGATCAGCCTTACAGTCATTATGTTTAGTTTTTGAAAGCCTACTCTAAAATGTCACTGTTTAATCACAATATTTAATCTATTCCAAATAACAGTAAAGAAGAGTGTGAGCTTATATATACATAAAAAATGGGAGCCTAAGTAAAGAAAGACTGGAAAACATTGCTGTATATGACCAAACATGGAAAAGAAGACGATGAAAAGCTTTGAGGGGATTCTAGAGCAATACATTTTTTGTTAGCTATGTATGCTGAGAGGCAGTGTAATATACTGTTCAGGGTATAGGTCTTAGAGTTAAAATGGCTAAATTAGAACCATGGCTCAACTCCTAACCGTGTGATCTTGGGCAAATTAATCTCTCTGCATTTCAATGTCGGCCTGTACCTTGCAGGATTACTGGGAAGATGAAAAATGGAAATGAATATAAATCAAGTGGCAGTGCTTTGTACATAATAAGTGCTTAAAAATTATTAGCTGTTATTAAGAAATGTTTTATTTGGGAGTTTAAAAATATATAGGATGGCAAATTTGTGTTATCTGTCATTTTTATCATGTAGGAGGTAATTTTTTCCTGTGAGTAGAAAATGCAGCTCCCTCAATTCTTTCTGTTTGGTGGTTCATGGCTCTTCTGTACCTTCCCAGAAAGAGTGAATGAAAGGGGCAGAGATGAAGTTCAAACCAGTTATCTTCCCTTTGTTATTAGCTATGATAGGAAGGTGGCGGCGGGGATAAAAAAGTCAAAGGCTGAATTGAGGCTTTGATTTATCAGCAGATTTCAATTATCAACATGATTTCAATTCTTCATTGCCATGGATCCCTAACAATTGACTATTGTCCCCTTGCTAGTAAGTCTGTGTCTATTTTTAAATTTCACCTCTGTTCAAATCTCTCTGCTGAAGGTAATAAAAGATTTAGGTTTAGAAAGCGACTTAGCGGTTGGAATAAGACAGGCTATAAATAGATGTGTCAATGAAATAGGTTAGCGAGGGATCTTGTTCTCTGCGGTCTCCAAATCAAAGGCACACATTCTTGTCTGATCTGTGTACTGGCACAGGCATGCTTGCAGGGGTCTCTGGACAGGTGCATGTATGTATGTATGTTCCTGCATGTGTAAATAGGAATATATGCATGGAACATATATGAGCATATTACTGAGGACAGAGAGATACCTGCTGTATTTCTGAATGGTGGAGTGATCTTTGTGAACCAGGTCAGTATCCTTCCCTGCCAATTATTCCTGGAGAAATCAGCATAAAATGTTACTCCCAGATAGTCAACTCCTAGTCTGTAGGACAGCGGCATAGCTCACATGCTGAGTTTATGATATTATTGACCATCCTCTTTCCAATCACCAGACTTTGAGAACTTGTCGGATGAAGGGTGCATGGTGATGTTCCATTCTGCCAAATGCTGAGGTCAGCTTGGCAAATGGTTTGCTAAGCAGTGAGGCTGCCATCCACAGTCTAGGATGTCATTTCCTACCATGTATAGCTGCTAAAATTCCAACCTATTCTTCAAGGCCTAGTGTAAATATTTCCTATTCTGTGAAATCATCTCTGATCAACTTAATGATATTCTCTGAATTCCTGGAACACTCTCTGAGCCTCACACAATATTGCTGACACATTGCTTTGAACTGGGGTTGTTGGGTGCCTGCTTTCTTTCTCTGTTAGACTGGGATCTCTTCATAGACAAAAGACAATGTCATTCATCTCTGTATCTCCAGCAACACCTAGTATGGTGATAGTAGGGCTGCTCATATTTGTTGAACAAATGTGCACTCCTGGTTACTCCCCTCTGGGTGCCAACTATTTTGTTAATGTTCTTGTTAATTTGTGGCACCCAGAGTTTGAAGCATTAGGGATAAGGTGTTTAAGGAAATGTGGAAATCAGTATCCCTGAATAGGAGACTAACAGACCTGTCAGAATCTTAGAACAGTTTGCTATGATTTCAGATTCCTAGTGATAATAAGAGAATATGAATAATTTGATATGTTTCAGTAGACTAGTTTTCAGTATGAAATTGGCCTGAAGGCAAGAAAATGACTTCTGTAGACCTGCCCAAACTTGAGATTCTAGATTACATATAGCCAGACCATTCCAGCATTCAGTAAGTTACTAAAACAAAGACTAAACTTCAAGATTGAAAGAGCCTTAAGAGTACTTTTGCTGATTCCTTAGACTCCCTAAACCATCTGGGACAGATTTTTGTTCATTCCCTCCTAGTCTTTTCTAATTAACTCCCTAGAAAAAATACTTCACAGCATCTGACAAATTGATTTGTTTCATAATAAATTCTACAATTAAAATAAGTTTTTTGGTCTAGACAAAGTAAATATCTGTTTCAGTCAGAATAAATTTAAACAGTGACCTTAAGTTATTCAAAGTTATTAAAATAGACTATGTTTATATTTCTTGGACAAAGTTTCTCTCAAGTGCCTGATCATATTTTCTAAGAGTTCCATTTTTTCCATGGGTCCTTGAACATTAAATGCACATGGCTGGAAATTTATCACATAACCACAAATGGCAATGGAGTACTTATCAAGCTTAAATCCAAGGTAGTCTGTAAATCTGTGTCAATTATAATCCTTGTTACTAATAAGAACTATCTTAAAGGTTAGGCATGGCTAATCCTCCCTAAGTAAATTCTGCCCTCTTGTGGATTAAAACAGCACCAGCTAGGAAAGAAATGGTCGCATGGGCTAGTTCCTTTCAGTTCTTTCAAAGAACCCTTCAACAAGCTTTGAAAGTCATGTTAACTAGAACAAAACTAGACCCTTTGTATAAATTGTATAAGAGCTCGCTGATGATGACAAAATACATCGGCAGACGAGTATACATTTGTATTTTATACTTTGGCACACATTCAACTAGGACAGTGCCTTCAATATACTAAGCACTTAATAATTATTTCACAGAATATTAGTTAGAAAATATTTTAAATACTGGGTTCATCATTCACATATAAGGATCCCTTTTCAGCCCCTGATATACCCTCACTTGAATGACTCCAGTAATGGAAAAGTCAGTAAACAACAGGGCTCATTCTCCTATCAGACAAGACTGTTACAAAGTCCAACAACATTAAACCCAAATGGCATTAAGTCTTTTGTAAGAAAATCACATAATTGAAGAACTAGAAAGAAGTATTGGAGATCTCCCACTCTGTTATTTCATGGTTGAATCTGTTATGGCATCTAGACCTAATTCTGGCCCCCAATGCAACAGAACCCAGGAAGCCTATTACTTGTTCTGTAGCCTTTTAAGTGTTGGAAGGTAGCTACCATGCTGCCTTAGTCTTCCATGCCCCTAACTTATTTATCTTACCTTAGTCTTCCATGCCCCTAATTTATTTATCTATAGCTGCATCAACTGTTCCTCATATGACATGTTTTTCAGACCCCATTGTTTCCTGGTCACAGCCCTCTGAATGCCAACTTTTTTGTCCATGTCCCTCCCAGTTTTCAGCATCTAGAACTGAACACAGATGCTCTGGCTTTGCTAAATTGGCTACCATAAAATAGAATGGAGTAACTCCCCATGTTTGGAACAGCAAACCTCCACGAATGCAGCCATGTCACCCTAGTGGTCAATGTAAATCTTGTAGCATCCCCCAGGTCTTCCAGGCCTTCCCCACCCTGTACTTGTGTCTAGCTGGAATTTTGAACATTTGTCTCTATTAAATTTCTTCTTGCTTTTGGCTCAAGATCCCAGCTAGCAAGATAATTATATATCTCCAATGCCTCCAATCAGATTAGCTCTGCTACCCAGCTCTGTGCCATCTACATTTACAAACATGATCTGTGTGTTTCCTACCCGCCATTTTCAAGGCAAAGACAATGACCTTTGCTGTGAGAAAGAAAAAAAGAATGAAAATTGGAGGTGGGGTATGTCTCCACAGGGCCACGCACTAGCCCCATGAGCCATGTGGCCACAGCTGTGTGGTCCTCGGTTTTCTCTCCTCTAAAAGAGAGTGGACAGCATTATTTACTTTGGTCTTGGGGCTCACATTAGATGATGCATGTGAATGACTGAATTAATTGTTCATTGTTAATACAAAGTGTCATTAACTACCACTTTTGAAGGATTTGAGGGAAGAGAGACTGTTCTCACCTTTGTATTCCCAGCACCATCCATATCTGATAGGTGAAGAGCTCAATGCTCTTGATCTATAAAATGAGAGAAGTCAATTAGAAAATTTCCAAAGTCTCACTGATTTTTTTGACTGACATTTGATGATTCTGACTTTCTTGAGGCTTTCTCAAATATTCCGTGTAAAGTAAAGCACAGGGAAAATCTCTTCCCATTCAGGTTAAGTGAACAGTTGACTACAGCAGGTCTACTGAGAAAAGTACAATCACCAAGTGGAAAGAGGTGCTGCCACACCTCAGTTGTCATTAGTGGGTGCTCTGCTGTAATGACACAGTGTGCATGGCACAGCTCCTACCCCTGGCATCAGACAGCAACCTTCTATGGCTCTCTAACTTTGTTACTTGTGAACTTCGTGTCTGTACAGCCCGGGAAAAAACAACTCACTTGTAAAAAATGAACCCACCTGTTCCCAACCTCTGCACCAAGCACTGTGGCTTCATCTAGATGGGGCCTTGGGAAATGCTGAGTTCCTGTGCTGAGGGTCTGATCTTTGGGGAGAATGAGCACGTGGACTTAGGGGCAACTTGTGCCATGTAGACTTTCAGTAAGTATTGGAGAAGTGGAAGAATTCTCTGTTAGAGAAAAAAGAGCAAAATAGACTTTTTTAAATGCAGCATCCTAGTTTCTGTTAAAAGTTAACCCTGCCCCATCTCTTTGAAGAAGGTCTTAAAAGTTCAGGAGAATCTTTAATAAAATTTAATCTTTAATACCATTTAGAGAATAAAACCTCAAACCAATCTTAACTGAATGTAAGCAGCAGTCATCTGAGAAAAAGCCCTCCCTGCTAGCACAGAAAAGCAGGGAAAGGGAACTAACGTTTTAGGGGGAGAGTCCCACGTGCCTTTACTGGGCTAAGTGCTTTGCCTCAGTGTCTTGTTTAATTCCCACTTTGTAGATGAGAACACTACAGAAATTCTCTCAAGCCCCCAAAGGTCGTTTGTGAAGTGCTCCAGTTGGATGCGAAAGCCCCCACTTGGGGAGAGCCTGCAGCTTCCAGGAAGAAATTCTGCATGTGCGCAGGGGACAGTCCTTACCCCTGCCACCAGCCAGCTCCTTCTCTACAGTTAGATGCTGCAAGAAGATCCCCGCATGGAGACTACTCCCTCACTTGCAGTTCTGCCGCTGATTAGTTTTATGACTTGACATTTCAGTTCTCTGGCCGCAATGTTCTCGTTAAGTTAAATCGATGATCTCTAGGGTCTTTCTTAACAAGGATTACTCCTTCAGTGCCCGCACAATCCAAGGCTAGCCACAGGGTGGCTGGAGTGCCCCTTCCCTCTCACCCAGCAGATGGCAGACATTCTCAGCAGCCCCCATGAGCACTGCCTTGCCTTGGAGTTTGCCTTGGAGTTAAAGACAGAGCCCAGGCCCCTGTCCCCTTAGGTAAGTTAAAAAAAAAGTATGGAAGGATCTTAGCAATCTGCAGGAGTCCTGGTGGCCTCCTGGGTCTAAGGAACTGAGGTTCAGGGAAGACTAAAGGTACGTGGGCTCTGATCTCGTGGCTCCCTGCCTGGTGAAGCCATTTGTATTCACTGAGGGGCTCCTCCCTGCACTGCTCTATTTAATTCTGGGTATGGTATAAATAGAACTTGGCATGCTGTCAAAGCACACCACCCACCACTATGTTCCGGTCCTTTTGGGACATCAACCAAATCTGAGCCTTTGATTCCCTCTAGTGGCTTAAATCAGCAACTTGCATAGCTGATTCTTTGCATTTATTTATTGAATTTACTGTCTACACTAAATTGGTGCTAAGTTCTCCAGCTTTGCCTGGAGTGCAGGGCACTGGTTTCATTAGAGCATTTTTGTGTCCAGTGGAAAGCCAGGGGTCGAAGCCAGAGCTCCTTCTCACAAGCTTAGCTTAGTATAGTGCAAACTGGTGCATTTCTCAGTTGCTCTATAGCTGCTTTATAGAGATTGAAGGAGAATGGGTTACTATATGAGTTATTTCTGCCACTAAATGAGCTGTAGGACCTTGGGCCAACTCTTACTCAAGGCCTCAGTTTGCTCCTTGGTAAAATGGGTGCATGGGCTAGATTCAAATCAATTCAACAATTCAACAATATTAATTGAACACCTGTAGTGTGTGAGACCCTGGGCTGCTATGGGAAGGCAGTGATGAATGGGACTTAATCTCAAGGAACTTACAAGATAATGGAAGAACCAGATATCCTGGAAGCCACATAACACAGGGCACAAACTCTGAACTCTGCAGTGAAACATACTTGGGGCAAGCCTGATCTGTCACTTCTTAGCTATGTGACCTCGGGCAAGTTGGTAACCTCGGCTTGAGTTTCAAATAAATTTGGATGATAATCTTTTCTTCATAGGGTTGAGTACTCCGTGTAGAACCAAACCATAGGAAGTGCTCATTAAATGGTGGCCACTTTTGGCTGGACGATGTGGCTCACACCTGTAATCCCTGCACTTTGGGAGGCCGAGACAGGAGAACTGCTTGAGGCCAGGAGTTTGAGACCAGCCTGGGCAATATAGCAAGATCCCATCTCTACAAAAAATTTAAAAATTAGCTAGCATGGTTGTGCACACCTGTAGCCCTAGCTTCTTGGGAGGCTGAGGCGGAAAGGTCCCTTGAGCCCAGGAGTTCAAGGCTTCAGTGAGCTATGATTGTGTCACTGCATTCCAACCTGGGTGACAGATGTCTCAAAAAAAAAAAAAGAAAGAAAAAGAAAAAGAAAAAAAGTGGCCATTTTCATTGTGTTTCATACTCTAAACAGAAATAATAGAAACCTTCTTGAGAATGTCAACAAGACCCTACAAGGGCATGAACTGTTGGTTCTGAAGGTCCCTCACAGGGCCAGCACATTCCTGTGGTCTCCTTTCTTTGCCACTGTGCTTAGCAATCCAGCTGGGGCTTCTCTCATGGTGGATGCCTTGGAGGACTCCTCCCCTGCAGTCTCAGCCCAAGCAGCCTTGCTGCAGAATGAAACAGTCTCCCCTGCTCCCTTCTTTCTCATTTCATTTCCCTGAAGGCAAGAATACAGGTCCTTTTCCTTCCCACTGATAGTTGCTAATCAATTGGGGGAAATTAACAGGAAATAGGAGAGGTAGTTTATATGCTTTGATTAGTCATGACTCTTGGTCTTTAGCTTTTAAAACCCTCCTGAAGTGGCAGAGTGAGTTCTCTCTGGGAAAGAAGACTTCACACAAGCCCTGGCACTTGGGGCTGTTCCAATCTGGAGGTTGTATGATTCTGTCTCATTATGAATGGCCTAAAAGAGATCATTTTTCACACTGAACTTCTTTATTACCGTGTAAGGTGATAAAGGAGGATCTAGAGCTAAAGCACACCTTGAACGTCGGGCACATCATACCTAGAATCTAGATGATGTTTCATCGTATCAGTTCATCAGTCATCAATACTGTAGATTTAACAGTCACCAATGTCAGATCCTTGGCCAGATACTGACAGAGAGAGAGTCACAGGAAGAAGGAGAGAAGGTGGCTTTGGAGTCTCTTAGTTCATGCTACTATAACAAACTACTTTGGACTGGGAGCCTTAAACAATAGACATCTATTTCTTAGAGTTCTGGAGGCTGGGAAGACCAAGATCAAGGAGCCAGAAAGTTCAATATCTGATGAGGGCCTACTTCCTGGTCATAGATACCGTCTTTTCTCTGTGTCCCCACATGGCAGAAAGGGTGAGGGACCTCTCTGGGGTCCTTTATATTCCATTCATCATGGCTCTACCTTTAAGACTTAATCACACCTCAAAGGCCCTACTCCTAATACCATCACATTGGGGGCTATAATTTCAACATATGAACTTGGGGGGGACACAAACCTTCAGTTTATAGCAGAGTCTGAAATTGCTGACAGGGTACTATTCCTGGAAAAAGACATAAGTTAGAGGTAAGAAAGCCAAAAGTCTTGGACTTAGTTCTGCCTCTAAAACCAATCAATCAATCAATCAATCAATCAATACATAAATAAATAAAAGCAAGCCAAAAGTGAAACTGAATTCCTACTAGCCAAAGGTCAATATTGCATGGATGGGGGGGCAGGATGTATCCAAATGGGGTAACTCAGAATTCGGCTTTGGATAGAAAAGGCTGTTTCAGATTTTTTTTTTTTCTTTTTGAGATAGGGTCTTGCTCCGTTGCCCAGGCTAAAAGACAGTGGCATCATCATAGCTCACTGCAACCTCAGATTTCTGGGCTCAAGTGATCCTTCTTCCTTAGCTCCCAGGTACCCCACCACACCTGGCTGATTTTTAAATTTTTTGTAGAGACAGAATCCTGCTATGTTGCCTAGGCTGGTCTAGAACTATTGGGCTCAAGCAGTCTTCCTGTCTCAGCCTCCCAAAGTGCTAGGATTACAGTCATGAGCCATTGCACCCAGCGTGTTTTAGATTTTGAAACTATGTGACATGAAACTATAGAAAATGGAAGATAGAATTTAGAAGGATAAAAGAATGTGGGCTGGGCGTGGTGGACCACGCCTGTAATCCTAGCACTCTGGGAGGCCAAGGCAGGCGGATTGCTCAAGATCAAAAGTTTGAAAGGAGCCTGAGCAAGAGCGAGACCCTGTCTCTACTATAAATAGCAAGATATTAATTGGCCAACTAATATATGTATAGAAAAAATTAGCCGGGCATGGTGGCTCATGCCTATAGTCCCAGCTACTCGGGAGGCTGAGGCAGCAGGATTGCTTGAGCCCAGGAGTTTGAGGTTGCTGTGAGCTAGGCTGACGCCACGGCACTCACTCTAGCCTGGGCAACAAAGCAAGACTCTGTCTCAAAAAAATAAAAAATAAAAAAAATAAAAAACAAAGAATGTGTATCTCTTAGGGAAGCAGAAATTCCTTATAAGAGCCCACTTGTTCTCGGAGGCATTTCTGCACTTACAAAGAGATCTGGGAAGGTGACTTGTCTATGAGAAGGCTCTAAGGAGTGACCTGGAAACCCAGCCTGTGACCTGGTATTGGAGCCTACTCTGGGGAAGATGCCAGCCCCGCCCTCCCTTCTCCCACAGACAGTGCCTGGATGGAATGACCAAGGAAAATTCAGGGACCTGATACAGTTTAGCCCAGGCCCAGCTGATGGAACAGGAGTATTTCTACGAGCCTTATTTGTGAGGCACGAGAGAAATGAAAAATGAAGAAATAAAGCAATGCCCAGGGTGCTGCAACTTCCTCTCACGCAACAACTGAGGGTGGACACTATTTGGGGAGTTGTGTGAGCATCCGCAGCGGAAAGGGAGGTGTTATGGTCAGGAAAAAAGCACAGGGATGCCTGTTGGATACTGCATCTAAACTAAACTCAGTGTCTGCCCTCCCCACCTCACCCCAAAATAAAAACACATCGTTCTTCTGACTTCCCTATCCCTGCTAATGCAGTCACTATCCTGCCATGCAAGCTGGAAAACAGCCTTTGGTTTTTTTTGTTTTTGTTTTTGTTTTTGTTTTAACACAGAGTCTCACTCTGTTGCTCGGGCTAGAGTGCTGTGGTGTCAGCCTAGCTCACGGCAACCTCAAACTCCAGGGCTCAAGCAATCCTCCTGCCTCAGCCTCCCGAGTAGGTGGGACTACAGGCATGCACCACCATGCCTGGCTAATTTTTTCTATATATATTTTGTGTTGTCTAGCTAATTTCTTTCTATTTTTTAGTAGAGATGGGGTCTCCTTCTTGCATAGGCTGGTCTTGAATTCCTGAGCTCAAACAATCCATCTGTCTTGGCCTCCCAGAGTGCTAGGATTATAGGCGTGAGCCACTGCACCTGCCCAGCCCAGTTTTGAATGCCATTTCTTTCTCCTCTTAGAGCTGGTCAGTTGCTGTGTCTTATCGTTTTGACTTCCTGTTACCTCTCAAATTTGTCCTTTTTTTTTTTTTTTAACCACTTTTATCATTATCCTGGGACAGTATCTCTCACCTGGAAAAATGTAACAGCTTTTTCACAAATGCATGTCTATTTCCCTTTTCCTGTGCATTCTATACACAGCTCCTAAATAGCTCATCTTAAACAAAGCAATAGATTATGTCACATTGCAGCAAGCAAGGCCTTTTATCACATAAACTGCCCCACTTTTCCAGCCTAACTTGTTACTACCTTCCCACATTTATTCTTCACACCAGGCAGCTGAACTATTTATTACCATTCACTGAAGATCCCCACATTTTCCCATCCTGTGCCTGTTCCTGTCATCTCCCCTCCCCACATCTCAATGCCGTTCTTCATCCTCTATTTCTATTTACATGAATTCCATTTTCCAAAGCCCATTCAAATACCACCTTCTTAATAATAAAATCAGTTGCATTTTACTCAGAGCTACTAAGTGCTAAATGCTATGCTAGATGATTTACATACCATATTTCTAAATATTTAAAAAACACTTGAAGGATTTAAACTTTCCCTGAACCCTAGAATAAATTACCTATAATTTCTCTTCTCGAAATTTGCATAGCCCTTTGATCATGAATAATTTCCCCTTATTCTACACTATTTGTAGTGTTGTTTTTTCATCCTCTTAAATACATGCTACTGGTCAGCAACAACTGTTGCTAGATTTGAAAAACTCACTTGTAAAATAAGAAGGTTCATCTCTAAGGTTTTCTCCACCTTCAAATGGTTAGCATGCTATATCTTCAAGAACATGAGTTGCTGGGTGACGCAGTGCATAGTTTCCTTGAGCATCATCCTTTTGGAAGCTTCTGTTAGTAGAAGACAGAAAGATTGAAAGACACAGTTATTGGCTGGGCACAGTGGCTCATGCCTGCAATTCTAGCACGTTGGGAGGCCGAGGTGGGAGGATTGCTTGGAGGCCTAGAGTTCAAGACCAGCCTGAGCAATACGGCAAGACCCTGTCTTGTCAAAAAAGAAAAATTAGCTGGGCGTGGTCACACACACTTGTAGTCACAGCTACTTGGGAGGCTGAGGCAAGAAGATTGCTTGGGCCCAGAAGTTTGAGGTTGCTGTGAGCTAGGCTAAAGCCACTGCACTCTAGCTCCTGCAACAGAGAGAGATCCTACTTCAAAAAAAAAAAAAAAAAGTCAGTTGTTGACCTGAGCAATTTCATTGTTCATAAAAACCCAGTAAGGTAGGAAAGACAGGCACTAGTAGGATGGAATTTAGTGGGGCATTAAAGAAGATATGATTAATGGAGGAGCCACTGTGAGACACTGGAACTTGTAGTACTTTTGTTCTAGGATTATTCCAACACCTTGACCTGCTCCTTGCCCCCAGGAACACCCAATAATTATCTGTTATCTAATTTGCTCCACACACATTGCCATCCAATTTCTACATTATGCATTAGATGTCTTTCTGTTTCAGTTTCCTACTACACTGGAACCTTGGGGACTCACACGGAGATCAAGAGAGTGGCAGAGGAAAAGGTCACCTTGCCCTGTCACCATCAACTGGGGCTTCCAGAAAAAGACACCCTGGATATTGAATGGCTACTCACTGATAATGAGGGGAACCAAAAAGTGGTAAGTATAGAAGTATACGTCTCGCTAGAGTCCCTCTCCTAGTCCTCCCACATTTGCCTTTCCTTGGTCTTCCAGTCTTTCTCATTAGGTTTGAAAGAGCTAGAATTGCTTTTTCATCTGGCTTACACTTGAAAGACCCTAGATACAAAACTGTAGAGAAGAAAGAGTATTTAGGTTGTGAGAATAAAAGACTCTTTGTTCTTTGGCCAAGCCAGAACTACTAGAAAGCCATCTGGCATTTACCCAGGGAGAGAATCTGCACTGTTAATGTCTTTGCCTAAACAGAGGACTAAGCTGTGGCAGCTTGATTCCCCAGTCTGGAGAGCCAGAACCTGAAACCTACTCAAGCAGGCCTGCCTCTCTCCCTCCTCTTAAATCATTACCTCCTGCCCTGCTTCAGCCTTGCACAAAGTCATGACTTCTAAGCTCTAGGATGGTGTGATGTGACAAAAAACATTTCATGCAGAGAAACAAGTAGAGGACATGAATGAAAATGTTTCACACATGTATAATTGGCCAGAAAGAATTGATACTTGTTCTGGAGTGGAAAAATAAAGGAGTGGGCCCTGGGTCTTCAGTTCTCAGGTTGGGTAGGGCCATGATGGTCCACTAGTTTTATGCGCTTCTGCCAGTGTGACCGTAACTTGCAGGGCTCTGCCTCCTGGTGACCGACTGTGCTGGCCAATGGTGGAGAATGAGAACTCAGTCACCTACTGTTACCATCCTTCTGCCTTGCTGGCATTCAGCCACAGCAGCTTTCCTCAATCCAGGTTTTCTAGTATGACTATCCTTTTTTTTTGAGGCAGAGTCTTGCTTTGTTGCCCAGGCTAGAATGAGTGCCGTGGCATCGGCCTAGCTCACAGCAACCTCAAACTCCTGGGCTCAAGCAATCCTACTGTCTCAGCCTCCCGAGTAGCTGGGACTACAGGCATGCGCCACCATGCCCAGCTAATTTTTTCTATATATATTAGTTGGCCAATTAATTTCTTTCTATTTATAGTAGAGATGGGGTCTCACTCTTGCTCAGGCTGGTTTCGAACTCCTGACCTTGAGCAATCCGCCCACCTCGGCCTCCCAGAGTGCTAGGATTACAGGCATGAGCCACCACGCCCGGCCAGTATGACTATTCTTACCCCCTTTACTTATGAACTTATATTGTTGTTAAGAGACTTATCTTTTTTATTTAAAAGCTTTACGATTTAAAAAAGTCTATAGCTTAGGGAAGCTGACTTTCTTCCTGTTTTTCAGAGCTTTGCTTCTTTCCCTGATTAAAAAAAATGACAAATTGTCCTTTCCTCTTTTCTGTCTACACTACTAATTTCATAAAATGCATTATGTTAGGAAAAGTTAAAGTTCTCACTGAAAATAAATTTCAGAATCACTGTTGGAGTTTCACGTGCTGAAATTCGCTGTCTGCATCACCTTGTTATTTTGATACTGCTTGTGCTTGTCATTTTGTTCTCGTAGTGCAGCATCCTGAGACTCTATCTGTGCTCCGTAGAGCAAGGTCACCTCAACCTGAGCATGTTTATTCCCACATCTTCCTGGTCAATGCTAGACATGATATTCTCAGTTCTGAATGAAGTAAATAAGAGCCCATGTTCTTGTAATAAAAATCCAGGATTGACTCTGATAAAGACTTCCTCCTTTGGCTACACTTGAATCAGGCTCCTGAGTTCTTTCTGAGTAGACCTGATCTTAGGCTTCCCTTTCTGTCCTCGTAGAATACATTTTGGAGCAAGAAGCCTGCTAAGTTAATTGAGCTACAATCCCCCACTCTTGGTATCTTATCACCCTCAGTATCTTATCACCCTGGCCTGCCCACAATAATCCTAACAAGTAGGTTTAGCCAGAAATGCCCTTACCCCTGATGTTTCCTCTTAGTAATTTTCTGTCTACCAACCCCTGCCCTGCCCCTTGGTTATACGTCCCCCCTTGTCCTTGCTGGAGTCAGCGTCAGGCTCAATCTCTGTCCCCCTTCACAAGACCCTGTTGCAGTGGTCCTTACACCTATTTAACCTTGAATAAAGTCTGCCTTACCAACATTAGCAAGTCTCACTCGATAATTTTCTAACAATGCCACACATCAACCTTGCATCCAAATGTTTTCACTTGAACTAAAGAAAAACAGAGTTGCTTGATTACACAGCCAAGTGAATATAAAGGTTAAGAAGTTAATTATTGATTTTAAAAGGCCACTTGATAATGGTTATAAGCAGTCACAATTCCCTACCTGCCTTCAGTTGATACTCTAAGGATGGTCATATGTTCAATTATTCAGATTACACAAATTTATTTAGTAATTACTATACTATATGCCATGCTAAGTACCACGATACAATAGTGAAGAAGATATCGTAGTCCTTGCCTTCTTGGAGTTTACAGTGAAAAGACATTCAATAATTTTTAAAAAGAAGAGAGAGAGAGAGGCAGGGCATGGTGGCTCACGCCTGTAATCCTAGCACTATGGGAGGCTGAGGTGGGAGGATCACTCAAGCTCAGGAGTTCGAAACCAGCCTGAACAAGAGTGAGCCCCCCATCTCTACTAAAAATAGAAAGAAATTAATCAGCCAACTAAAAATATATAGAAAAAATTAGCCGGGCACGGTGGCACATGCCTGTAGTCCCTGCTACTCAGGAGGCTGAGGCAGAAGGATTGCTTGAGCCCAGGAGTTTGAGGTTACTGTGAGCTAGGCTGACGTCATGACACTCTAGCCGGGGCAATAGGGTGAGACTCTGTCTCAAAAAACAAAAACAAAAACAAAAAATGAAAATAGAGAGAGAGACAGAGACAGAGAGGAGGAAGGAAGGAAGGAAACAAGCAATAAATATTAGCTGTATGATACCATGTACAAATCTGTTTAGCAAATATTATTAATATCTCATTTAATTTAATCCTCATGACTGTGATTATTAGGCCTATTTTACAAATGAGGAATTGAGGTATGCTTACACACACAAAGTGAGCAAATTGCCTAAGGTCACCGATTTTGCATTTGTAAATTAGGCACTCTGACATCAAAGCCTGGGCTGTGAAGCACCAGCTTTATTATCTTCACAAATAATGTGAAAGTATAATGTGTGCCATGTAAGAAATAAGGAGAATGTGGGAAGAAAATCATTCCAGACAGAACCTATTTTGCAAAGACCTTATGCAGGAAAAAGCTTAGTATTACTGGAAGTTATAAAAGATCAAAAATCAATTTAGTTACATTTAATAAATATTTATTGCAGTCCCACTATAAACACAGCCTACGGCAAAGCAGCTAATTGAAGAGATAAATGTATAAAAAGACAACTTCAGAACTGCATGACAAACATCAAGAATCATGATCAAGATAAACAGAGTGTTCTAGAGGAATATAAAGGAGGAGCCACTGGCCAGGAGTAGCTGGAGGAGGGGAAAACTCAAGAACATCTTCTTGTGGAGAAAGCACAGCTGATCTAAGTCTTGATAAAAAAGAACTACCCTGAAGAAATCACAAGAGCATAGACACAAAGGCTGGAAAATTCTGGGAAATCATATGCAGCTAGTATAGGTGGAGTATAAGATGTGAGCCTGCAGAGGTTGCAAGACCGGCACATAGAAGATCTTGTATGACATACTAGGGAACTTAGAATTTGAAGAGTGCAAGGGACATATTTGCATTTTAGGGTGATCATTCTGACACTGCATGGCACACTGATTTAAGGGAAACCCAAATAAAAGCAAGATCAATTAAACAATTTCAGACTATATACAACAAGGGTTTAAATGACTGTCACAGGTAGTTGGAATATCAAGAAAGGAATAATAAAATTATCAGGTAAAGTTGCCAGGACTTTATAATTGCCAGGGTGTTGGGAACGGGAGTGAGGGTGACTAAGTAAGAAAATACAGGAAGAGTTGGAATGCATGTAGCACTTAAAGTAGGCTGCCAATGACGTAGATCCTAAGTTTAGCTTTACATTTCAATCTGAGAAGAAATGTTTTCATCCCTTTTGTCTAGGATGCTCAGATTATGCAGGGAACATTTGGGGGTAGAAAGGTAGTCTCCAGAATATTTGAATTTCAGCCTTGATAGCTTAGCCCGGAGAACTCTGGAGCTTTCCTCCTGGTTCTAAAGATAGAAACACAACTAAATTTCTAGCTAGGGACCAGATAGGGATCTTCTCTCAAGATCAGTCAGGAAAACACACAACAGAAAGTTTTCTCCTCTATTTTTCAGATGGAGAAGTTAGGACAGAGATGTGCCAATTCCTAGGCCTAACCTCTTGCACTTCACTCTTTCCTTCTTCTCTTTGGCCTTGAGCAAGAAAAATCCTGATCTTCCATGACCATTGCTTGGTCATTAAAAAAAAAATTAAAAAAGAAAGGAAAAATCCTGATCTAAAACATAGAAAGAGACCTGCATCTATCTCCATTCAAAGCGGTTTTATGATTACTACAGAGGCCATGGCACAGCAGAGCAACTGCCAGGAAGCTGAGCTGATGCGTCTGTTCCATACAAGTCCTAGCAAATTGCTCTCGGTCCACTAGAAATGCCATGAAGCGGACAGCCCCACGACAGCTGCAATTCACACATTTAATTTTTTTGTTTGTTTGCAAAAGGATGATATTGATGTGCATTATTCTCTCATCACACCCTGCTTAGTCTCAGCACTACATTTCTTAGAATTAAAAACAAAATAAAACAAAGAAGCACACAAGCATCTGAGATTCAACGCGTGTGAGCCAAATTGCAAGGCTGTAACTGAGACCCAATCCACGTCAGAAGTGTGTGTGAAATCTTCATATTAAATAATTTTTAATTATATTATAAGGCTATGTTGCAATTGTATAATCTCTATGTTCCAAAGATGTCAGATGCTTACCTGTATGTTATCTCTTTTTTCTTCATTAAATATTTGGACAGTTCCAGCCTGGGCAATAAAAGCAAGACCCTATCTCAGGGGTCCTCAAACTTTTTAAACAGGGGGCCAGTTCACTGTCCCTCAGACCGTGGAAGGGCCGGACTATA